GGTATGTCAAGAGGTCATTCTTTATCACCTGCCTAGAGACCTCCAAGTGTCAGATGCTCAGCAGTTCTGTAAATGTGAGTAATCCTGCAATAGAAGCATCTTAGCATCTATCAGCGCGTTTCATGGGAAAACATGATATTTTAAGATAAAAGATCATAAATTAGCAAGTCATGTTATGTGAAGGGGGCTCCTGGGTTCTCTATGCCTCCTTTTACTTTCTAGGGCATTGGGTATTGGGGTTAAGTCATCACAGCTGGGCACCCCTATTTGTCCCGTAATCTCCATGTCTTGGTTCTGTGGCTTCTGTACTGTGTGAGGTTAGAAGTTAGAAGGAATATTAGTTTCACCTCATTTGTTCCTGATTCAAGATATGTTTTGAGTAACCACTAGGTATGAAGCACTAGGTTAGACAATGGGGTTTGGGAGAGACACAAAAATTAATCTGACAGTCTCTGCCTTTAGGAATTCATACACCAGTTGTGAAGACTGGATCTTAAACATGTACTACACTATGATGTAATTTCTTTTCTTTATAGAGAATAACTGGTATGAGATCATAGAGGAGTAAATAATAAACGCCATCGAGGAGAATTAAGGAAATCTAGGCCTTGTGGGCAGAGCAAACAGCATCTGCAGCAGCAGAGAGGCAGAAAGAACGTGATGATGTCTCAGGAAAATAGAAAAAATCAGTGTGGCTGGAGCATAGGGTTGATGGTCAGGAACAGCAGTTGATTAAGTGGACTAGAGCTTACTGTGAAAGGCCATGCACTTTCCCAGAAACGATGGTGAGCCGTTGTCAGTTTTTAAATGTGGGGAGTGGCATGGCCACATTTGTGCTACTGAAAGATCATGTGTACAGTGGGATAGAAGATGTACCAGGGAGACCAGAGTTGAAAACATAGATTATGTCACTCAGTGCTCCAATGGGAGATCACAGCAATGGCAAAATAGTTGGTTTGGAGAGAGGTTTGGTGACTAATCAAATGAAGGGCAGGGGTAGAGGATGAGTTACAGAAAGGAAGTGATGACTCTGAGGTTTTTCAAGCCAGGAGACTTGGTAGATGGTGCCATCCACTGACAATATGAAAAGGGGAAACGGAGATCATAAGTTATAATTGGCCAGAAATAAAGTTTGCATCCATGCTGAGAAATATAGACTCTGCTTCCAACAAATAGTGTTCTGGAGTTGACTGACCCTTTGGAAGGTACAGGTTTTGTAAATATCAAAGTTTCTTTGAGTAAACATAAGTAGGCTTGTCAGCAAGTCCAGTCAGATTGGGAATTAATACAAAACACGAGTGTCTTCCTAATCCTAGCCCCAAATACTGTATTGTTTTGTTTTCCTAATAGGTAGATCATGTATGGTCCTACAAATCTCTCCAGGGCTCTGTGCTTACAGCCATGGGTGTCTAGTTTGGGTCAACAATGACATATTCTTGTAATAAAGGCTGAGTTGGCAGGGGACATCGCCAGGGCATGTGGATATTAGAACAGTAGTTCTAACCAGAAACCATCCGTCTTCCAAAGGAGACCTGAGTAATTGCCACCTACCCTTTAAAATAGATAAGCAAGAAGAGAATCATCTCGCTTATCTACTCCAGAGACGCTCTTCAGGATTACCCACTAGGGAGGAAAGAACTCTGGGCGACTCTTCTTCCAATTCTAAATCTCCAATGCTACTGACCAGGAAGCCAAATTTCATTCGACTTCAGATTGTTGAATCTTTGTATGAGTCCTTACTCTGTCACCACTACTTGTGATAGTGTATTAACATGATATTCTATTCTTTGCCATTCTTTCAGTGGAGAAAGAACTGGGCTTTTCTAAAGTGTAAGTTCAGCTGGGAGATGATCACTCGTCTCTGTCTTTAGCTGTTAACTTGATGGTGACTCATCTGCTACATTTGTTATTTCAGACAATGTTGTAACCTGGAAAGTACCCAGATTTGCCTTTTCGTGAATGTGAGTGAAGCAATCTCTTTGTTGCACCCTATTGAATTCCTGTTGACCCCTTCTAGAGAGAAATCGAGCATCTACACATCAAAATGAATACCCAGGAGCATTACACTTGGTTTGGGTACTTCTGAGCAAAGAGCTATCATTTGTTTATCTTCTTACCTATGGGAAGAGTTGGAGAGTTACACTACATATGCTTTGGTTTTCTGGTTTAAGAATTCACAAAACTTTGAAAGTAATACCTCAATGTTGAAGATGCAGGGCATGTATTACACTCAGGCTGTGTCTCTGCCTCCCGTACTCCCCTTTCTCCTACTCTTATTGAGAAATGTCTGACTTTCTAAAAACCTAGCAATATTGGGAGAACTTTTCACAAAGCCCAGACACCTCATCAACTTTGTTTTGGGAACAGAAGGAAATGGTAAAGGTTGGTGGTAAAATTTGGTGAGAGAACGTCTCAGACCATTGACTTGAATGAAGTGGAAAATAATGACAGGGTCCAGTGCTTCCTGGCATAGGTCAGGACAGAGAAAACAGATCATGGCATGGATCACCAAGTCCGAGAAGTAATGCATGTGAGCCCCCCTCCACCTCACCCAAAGGAGTCTCTCCAGGAGAGTGGACTTGAGCACTTGCATCCCACCCCCACCAACCCCAGCTGGCTATAAGATGTAGACAAAAAAGTTCTTTTTTGAGAAATAAGAGGACTACTGATCCTGTTTTCTCTCAGGTTGTCTACCACCTCCACATGGTAATTATAACAAAAGGGATGAGGAATTCTTTCCAACTGGACAGGAAGTGTCCTACAGCTGTGTGCCTGGCTGCACCCTCATTGGAACTGACCCTGTGCAGTGCATGTCCTTGGGAAACTGGAGCCAAGCAACCCCACGTGTGAAGGTGCCTAAAGCTCACCTCCATCTGAAGGAAAGACAACTGTTTCCCCACTCTTCATGTGCCAGCCTGTCTCTCTTTTCCTAATAAAATCATGCAATGTCAGTCCTACCAACCTCTCCGTGGCAGTGTTGTTCCTCTTCATAATCTCCAGCTTGGGGCAGAAGCCTCCTTTGTTTGTGTTGAGGGGTGAATGTGAGGTGTGGGGCCCGAATTAGGACCTAGGACCCCTAGCTAAGCATTGCAAAGTGTGATCTGTAAAGATGGTTAATTTTTCCTCTCTCTTTGGTTTTTTCTCTCCTTCTCTTTACTCTTCATCACTGAGAGCTCGGTTATGAGCCAAATCCTCTTGATTTTCTTAAAGGGTGTGTGTTGTACCTGGCCAGCCAAAGCTGGTAATTGTCCTTTCATCTTTTGAAAAAGCAAAGTTTTGGTTCAGAAGTGAAGTCTCCTCTTACTGAAAAAGAAAAGATGATTTGGGGTTCACCAGGAGCGGCTCTATGGGGTCAGCTTAGGGGACAAGGTCTTTGATGTTTTTTTCACTAAGAACTGAAGCTTTTTTCTTCCAGATGGTCAGGAGAACATTGACATTTGGATGTTGAAAAGGAACGAGAGAATTCAAAAAAAGAATACAATTGTTAGGATTTTTTCTCTGTGTTTTTATCTGGACTGAAGTCATCATGTAGCTGAGATGAGTCACAAATAACCTTGGACTTTTTCCTTAAGCCAGAAATACTTAAAAATATAGGTGCCATTAATACCATGTACTTGAGAGAAGTGATTAATTCCATACAACTAAGAACTGGTTTCTTGTAGTGATGATTTGCTACCACTTATTCTTTATGTTCTAGTTAAATGGCAAATCTTCTACTCAAGGTGTCCCATAAGAAATGACAGCACTCGCACTTTGGAATAAGTTTTATGTCTATGAACATGAGTCTAAAACAAAGACAATCAAGTATGGATCTTTTCTCTCGGTTTTTGTTGGGTTCCCATGCATTTATCCACTATAACATCAGCGTATGTGCCTTGATGATTATATGCCACCTTTTCTGTATTCTACAATGCAAACAAAAGCTATTAAACTTATTCAATTGACTGCATATTATATGGTGGATTCTGTACATATAAAGATACAGCTTCTCGAAAGTTACCACTACTGAAACCAAGTGCTGATGTGCTGAAACACTTTGGCTGTGTCCTCTCCAGCTCCTCTACTGAAGAGCTCCTCCTTGAGCCAAATGGAAATTATCTGGGAGTTCTAGAGGTTGGCAATTTTCCCTTTATCCTAAGACTCACTCAGGAAAGGTATATCCTCTACTGAAGAGCTCCTCCTTGAGCCAAATGGAAATTATCTGGGAGTTCTAGAGGTTGGTAATTTTCCCTTTATCCTAAGACTCACTCAGGAAAGGTATCCTATACCAAAGCAGCTATACATAAGTAATATTTCTCATGCCATTAAAACAAGTAAATAAAGAATATGAGGTCATTATTCAGAACATCTGCTTACTTCCTCTAACTTTTTCAAGTGAATCCAGCATCCAGGGATGACAAATGACTAGTAGTGAGGCTGCGGTGTCTTCAGAAGCAGAACCAAATGTGGTCACACCACCTGTGGACCCAGTTGTGGGTTTGAAAAAAGCATTGAATAATTAGCATGTTTTAGGTGTTGTGAATGCCCTTCTCATGTACTTTTATCTCACTGGATTCTCACTATACTTAATGAGGTACTTGAATTATACTATAGAGTAGGAAACCGAGGCTTAGAGAGGAGGGTCAGCCTTGCCTGAGGTCACACAGCTATTGAAGATAGTGGTGATTTAAAACCAAGTATACTGAGCCCAAATTTCATTAGTCCATGGTAACTGCACATATATAATTAGCTTGTCATTAATATTCTACTTTCATGTGCTGCCTGCCTTCTGTTTTATAATTAAAACTGATTAGACATAACTTGTGGATAAATTATTTCATTGCTATTGTTTCATCAAGATGGCTTATATTGATATGTTTGCTGACGATCAAGGCAGGGGTAAGAACTTAAGAGTTTGAGAATAAGCAGAGATTATGTGTAAGAAATAAATTATATGAATTTCTAGTCTGATTCTGAAAAAACGATATGACTTGTATTTGGACATTTTATCTAAATTTGAATCTTTTTATTGTCAGCATCAGTGTGCCCACATAGTTCCTTTTCTATGTTTCAGGGATTTCTTGTGACCCTCCTCCTCCTATCAAAAATGGTTGGAGTAGTTATCATTCTGGCCCCATACCCCGTGGTACTGTGGTAGGGTATGACTGTTCACATGCTTTTCGCCTCATCGGAGAAAAAACTATTTTTTGTACAAGTAAAGACCAAGTGAAAGGAATCTGGGATAAAGCTGCTCCAATATGTGAATATTACAATAAAAATTCTATTTGCCCTGAGCCCACAGTACCAGGGGGATTCAGAGTAAAAGGATCTAGGCCACCATACAGGCATGGTGATTCTGTGACATTTACGTGTAAAGCCAACTTCACCATGAAAGGAAACAAATCTGTCTGGTGCCAAGCAAATAGGACGTGGGGGCCGACTCCGCTGCCGACCTGCGAGAGCGGTGAGTACGCAGGGACACTGAGCCACAGGCTGCTCTGCGCAGCCCACGCTGCGTCCTTCTGAAGGACAAGGGGTGTGATGGGGAGGGAGGGAGGCAGAAGATGGGGAATTAGGGTCTCCCGCTCTTTCTTAATAATTGTTCATTCAGAAAACATCAATTGAGCAAAGGAGTTTGAAGAATAATGGTAAAATATCAGATACTGGAACAGATTTTTACAGTATCTTTTCATCTCTCCAGAAATCACTTGCCCACCACCCCCTGCCATCTACAATGGGAAACACACAGGAAGTTCCTCAGAAGATGTTCCATATGGAACCACGGTCACTTACACATGTAACCCCGGGCCAGAGAGAGGAGTGGAGTTCAGCCTCATTGGGAAGAGCACCATCCGGTGCATAAGCGATGATCGAGAGAGAGGCACCTGGAGTGGCCCTGCTCCTCTCTGTAAACTGTCCCTCCCTCCTATCCAGTGCTCACAGGCCCATGTTGCAAATGGGTACAAGATATCTGGCAAGGAAGCCCCGTATTTCTACAATGACAGTGTGACATTCAAGTGTAATGATGGATTTACTTTGAAAGGCAGTAGTCAGATTTATTGCAAAGCCAATAACACCTGGGATCCTGAAATACCAGTTTGTGAAGCAGGTAAAAACCCAATGGGGAAGAAAAAGATATTTACTTACTTATTCTGATTTGTTATTTCCCACCCAAAACTAGAGGCACGGAAAAAGGCAAGAGGGCACTTTCCCATTTCTTCCATTCTTTAATAGAATGTTCTGTGTGTGTCGTGTGTGTTCTTCAAGCAAATACCCTCTTGGATCTGGGATTATAATCATGTGGTTATGTCTTATTTTCCTTACAATATTATAAGGATGTGCCTCAATGCCTGTTGAACAGCCTTAGGGGATGGATTTGAATAATGTTTTATTCCATTAGTTCACCAAATGGCTTTTCCTAATGATTTGTTCGATCCAAGGTTTAGAAAATTCAACTTGTGAACCTTAGGCTTGTACATAGGTGAACATTTATTTTGGACCTACAATGTCAAAAACAAAAATGCAAAGATACTTGAGACTTGTTCCCTGTTCTCAAACAGAAAAAATTGTAAATACAAACAGTATAAGTTAGCTGTTAAATAGTAACTAGAAAGTGTAGACTGGAGTCACGCAGAATATAGGCTTTTGAGCAAAACAGACCTCAGTTCTAACTCTGTCTTTGCCACTCATTAGCTGCCTAACAAGGAGCAAGATACTTAACTGCTCTAAAGATATGTTTTCTTCTGTTAGAGGTGGGAAAGATGACAATGTGTATCTCTATGGGAATTATGATGACTGGATGAGATACTACATAAAAAGTGTCTAGATTATGGATATATTGTGTCAATAATATAGTAAAAAGTATGCATACCACACATACACTATTTATGTTATCCATAAATAGAATGCTATAGAATACATATTATACATGTGATGCATTTATATATATAATGTAAATAGTATAATACTATATGTTTTATATATGTATGGTATGCATAGAGTTCTAGTATGCTTAGATAATGTATACATACCGTCCAGGTTACAGTAAGATCTCAATAACTTGCTGGATATGATATATAATCTCTTCCTAACAACTGCTGTAGGAGTTCAGAGAAATAAATGACTGTTTCCTGGGGAAGGAGGAGAAATCTTCACAGAGCAAACAGGACTTGAGCAGCAAGCAGAGAAGGAAGCGTGGCATGTAGGCAGGAGAGATGACATGAGCGCGGGTACAGACGTGGGAATGTGTATGATGTACTTGGGCACCACGAGCTAGATGGATTAATTGCCCTATAATGAGGACTCATATAAGAAAATAGCGATAGTTAAGGTCTAAGGGTCTATGGGAAAGGCCAGGGGAGCATTTTCTAAATAGGCATGGGTTGGAAAAGGTTTTTAAACTTTTGTTTCTAGTAAATATACAATTCTGAAACTACCATTACTTGGTTTCAGTCCTCAGTGGAAACCTTGCACCAGCATAGCTCTTTGTCTGACGTTCCCACTGCTCCATTGATTTGACTTTCTCATGCACTGTTGGTGGACCCTGACAGAGTTCCCTTGCAGAGAGGTGCTCTGCACCATGTCCTTCCCTTGCAGAGAGGTGCTCTGCACCGTGTCCTCTGTTATTTCAATGTGCAGGTCGCCATTTTTATTCTTCCTGTGAGCTCCACCCTGGAATATCTTACAATGCTGTGAGTGTATTCTTGGTGAGGATGGACAGACAGTTAGATGACTCAGAGATTGTGGATTGACTTATCCTTACAGTTTCTCACTGACGCACATCTCCACATTCAGCCTGAAATCGATTAAGTGCACCTCTAGCACCATGTGTCTTAGGGCTGCGTCCAGCCTTCTGCCAAAATGGTCCCTGACAATGTAAAGTTGAGTGGACTTGTCAACGTAGTGAAGGGAAACCTGAGGGCTCATAGCTCAAGGCTTCCTACAGCTCCTCAGCTGAGGCCTCTAGGAGGGGAGCACAGGTGCCTAGGGCAGGCCGCGTGACCTTGTGGGCAGAGAGGATGGGAGTTCTGGATGGTCAGCAGAAATAGTCCCTGTCCCCACTGAGGCCTCTGGGCTTCTGTCACAGAACGATCTGTGTATTCTGGGGAAGAATATGGTAGGACCCAAGTGATTTCTGGTTTTCTTGCTCAGCCACGAGTCTGAGGAGAGTTTTGGTCCTGATCGTGTAGGGCTTCCCTTGTCGGCCTGCATCCTCCTTCATTCTCATGTGACAGATGCCTCTCAACCTCTCCCACCGCCTTCATTTCTTTTAGGAGGTTCCTTCTGAAGGCTGTGAGCACGTGCTTGCAGGCAGAAACCTCACGCAGTGTCTCCCACGCCCGGAGGATGTGAAAATGGCACTGGAGTTGTACAAGCTGTCTCTGGAGATTGAACTACTGGAACTACAGAGAGACAAGGAGAGACTGTCCCTTCTGGAGTCATCACCATAATTTTTGCCAAACGAGGTAGAAAAGGCAGCCTTGATGGCTTTATGCCCTCAATTCAAGAAGGATCACTTCAGTTTAGCATGTCTACTGTCCCTTTGGCACTGATATTCATGGTAGTAAATATTCACATATCAAAATGATTTTGTCTTTGTGGCCGTTTACACCTCTGTGAAAGGAGGGCCCAAACACAGGAGTGCAGGTATCCCTTCAACATCTCTTAGAGTTGATAAATGATTTCAGTACAGTTGCAAGATATAAAATCAACATGCAAAAATCAGTAGCATTTTAATACTCCAACACCAAACTAGCAGAAAAAGAAATAAAGAAGGGTAGCCCATTTACAATACTCACCAAAAATAATAAAATGCCTAGGTATAATTTAACCAAGGAGGTGAAATATTTTTACAAAGAGAACTACAAATCACTACTGAAAGAAATTGAAGAGGACACAGAGAGTTAGAAAGACATTCCATGCTCTTGAATTGGAAGAATCAACATTTGAAAATGTCCATACTGTTGAAAGCAATCTACAGATTCAGTACAAACCTCATAAAAATACCAATGACATTCTTCA